GCAAAAACGGGGCCAAATGCCTCTGAAATTCTGTGAACTACATTGAGTTAGATTCTGTGAACTACATTGAGGTAGCTTGAATGCTATTGACATATTTTCTATATCGATTATATGCACATCTATGAATTCTTTGCATCTACTTGCAGTGCATAGGCGTACAAGAAAGCTCCAAGCTTAAACCCCCATTAGTTTTTCATCTCGTCCATACCCGCAAATGACACTGAGCCATGCAAAAACGGGGCCAAATGCTCTGAAGTTCTGTGAACTACATTGAATTAGATTCTGTGAGCTACATTGAGGTAGTTTGAATGATATTGATCTATTTTCTATATCGATTATATGCACATCTATGAATTCTTTGCATCTATTTGCAGTGCATAGGCGTACAGGAAAGCTCCAAGCTTAAACCCCCATTAGTTTTTCATCTCGTCCATACCCGCAAGTGACACTGAGCCATGCAAAAACGGGGCCAAATGCCTCTGAAGTTCTGTGAACTACATTGAGTTAGATTCTGTGAGCTACATTGAGGTAGCTTGAATGATATTGACATATTATCTATACCGATTATATGCACATCTATGAATTCTTTGCATCTACTTGCAGTGCATAGGCGTACAGGAAAGCTCCAAGCTTAAACCCCCATTAGTTTTTCATCTCGTCCATACCCGCAAGTGATATTGAGCCATGCAAAAACGGGGCCAAATGCTCTGAAGTTCTGTGAACAACATTGAGTTAGGTTCCGTGAGCTATATTGAATGAGCTTGAATGATATTGACATATTATCTATATCGATTCAATATGTTGATGGAAATATATGTATACCTACTAACTCTTTGCATCTACTTGCAGTGCATTGGCTTACAGGAAAGCTCCAAGCTTGTGCTGCTCAATGATGGATACCAATACCAGGAGCAGTGGGAATGTGCCGATTTCAACCAGCCATTGAGCAGAGGACTTTGTCTGAGCCCGAGACACGTCCAGTGTTAGTTGGCGACCATAGGCTCCGGATAGAGACAAAGTTTGAGCAATGCAAAAACGGGGCCATATGCTCTGAAGGTTCTCGAGCTACATTGAATTAGGTTCTGTGAGCTACATTCGATGTATGAAATAATCCAATTATTTGGGAGGGGGGCCGGACCACGACGGAAGCCGTAGACCAATTATGAGGGAGCCAAGACTAAAAATGAAAAGGCGAAAATGTAGGACATAATCGATTATTTCAAACATGTTGCTTCAGAAATCCACGTATTTTTGCTCGATCGCACCCCAATCCGTAATATTAGTAGTAATTTAAGTTGACATCAAAGCTTATATCGATTCAATATTTTGATGTAAGTATATATATATCTATCTATTCATTTTTTGCATCTATTTGCAGTGCATAAGTTTATATGAAAATCCCCAAGCTTGAACCCCCATTAAAAACGCATCTCGTCCATACCCGCAACTGCCACACTGGGTTGAAAATATATATTTGCATGAAAATTAACCTCAAAGATCGAAACCTTATGAAATATAATGAAGCTTCGTCTAAGCAGAGAGGACTTCGTCTGAGCCCGAGACAGGTCTAGTGTCAGTTGGCGACCCGCCAAGTTGCTTGCAGCCAGCCAAGGGCGGGCACGGCAGCAGGGGTGACAGGACGCCCAGATATCATTCCAAATCAGCACAAATCCATTCAGAATCCAACCTAAATCCATCCAGAATTACGCTAAGCTCGGTCCCTTGTTCGAAAGGTCTGAGGCGCCATGCCGATAGCATATTCCTGAATATAGTATACAAATATATCATGCAAATTGTAATATTTTAGCATATATTTGATGGATTGATGGATCGTATATTTTCAGTTGGACCCTCCTGCAAGGGCAAGGTAGCAATCTTCCTGGGCTTTAGCTTCGCCTTCCTGGACAGACCCATGATAAAAACCCACGAAGGCAAACAACAAACAGCGCAAATAATCGATAGAAAAAATTCTGGTATTCCATACCAGGAAAACCGAAAATATTTGCATTTATTTTGGCAATTTTGGAAAGCAAAATTGATATCGCGAATATACACCGTGCCTAGCATTATTTCGGCTATTTATGACTTCAAGATTGTGACCCCGGAAGCAGCTGCACCTCTACCGGGCCACACGCAAGTGGCAAAATGGCGGATTGCTATGATAAAGAATTGAAAATCGAATTGATTAGGGCACCATCAGTTTTGAGAAAACCCAAATCGTGCTTGCAAAGAAATGTCTTTCTTTTCATAATCTTTCTGGGCAAGAAGTTGTTTCCAATTTACACACAATATTATGCGATGTCCATGATACTTTCAAAAAATATAAGTTGATAATCCTAGTTTGCACGAAGCTATCTCGTAATTGCCAACAATGCCAAGACCTTTTTTTTTTGAAGTTGCAAAAGGCAACTCGAGCAGAAGGTCATTCAAAATATGGAACAAATAATCGGCGCAATTACAACAAACCAGAATGAATAATGCATATATATGGATGCATGTCAAAAGATGCAGGTCGAAAGTAGATCAATACAGTATTGTCAAGCAAATACAAAATCTTTCAAAATATCAAATAGATTGAAACTTTATCAATGCAGTGGTACCACACAAATGTTCTCTATCAAAACATCAAATACAAATATTGAATTTACGACGCATTCACATAGATAATGTATTATTCCCTTGCGAACGCGGCCGATTTTTGCAACGGAAAATGCTATCGCACGACATAAATATTCCATCAAAACATAAAAATAAGCATTAAATTTACGATGCACTCATGCGTACAACTACTAAAAGTAGAACATCAAATGCAAATATTAAATTTACGACGCATTCATGCGTATAACTATTAAAAATACAATATTATAATAAGGCTTCCTTCCCTTACGTATAGATTATAATATTACAACGAAAAATACTAACGTCTATACCCAAAAATTTCTCAGTAAATATATAAAAATAAAGT